GGGCTGTGGTTAATAACGCCAGAGCCCTAAAGAATTGGACCGCATGCTTAAGTGTCCCAGGACAAATTAAAGAAGTTTATTTTTATAGCAGTTAGATTAATTTGCTTCGAATTGTGTCCCGTGTCAGGATTCAGAATTACTGTAATCTAGTATCTCATATCTTACCAATCTAAATACAGAAAATTAGCACTTAAAGTGTATGCTAAAGCTACACCCCCCACCAATCAATTTCTCAATTTACATCATTGGCAGTGTTATGCTATTTAACCAAATACATTAGGCCTGCAGCTAAGGACTATTTAGCTAATCGATTAATTTTTCGATTACATTTTCCATTTAATATTCGGATGGCAAACGTTTCCTTAAAGTAAATTTTTACGAAGAATTTAAACCAACTGAAACTAAAACTAAGCCCTTTGAGGATTTCTGGATAGAGCATATTAAAAGGACAAGAAAAAGTCCCATAACTGATTTGAGTGGGCTGCTCTTTCGGCTTAAGGCACGTTTTAGTCTGTAGACTGAAGTAAACGATTAATCAATTAATAAATTGGTTGCTAATTATTAAAAAAAATCAATAAATCATGATCAATCCGTTTCAGCCCTAAAATATAGCATTTAATGTTAGGGTTTCAGATTGGCTGTAAGAAGCCAGATACAGTGCAGTAACTTAACCCAACTATAGCCCTTCATTTATTTTACGTAATTTAGAATAATCAGGTAATGAAAACAGAATGAAGGGATATAAAATTCTTAAAGAGATGTTTGTTAAAGTTCTAAAACTATAATGTCTCCTCCTCTAGGTTGGACACAGTAAAATTCTTGTCTCCCAAAAACCAGAGGAGCGCCAATCAGATTTACTTAACGACTTAACGGTGTAGTGGAGAATTTTCACGAATTTTTGAAAAGACCCACACTCTCCACTTAAAAAATAATAATAATAATTAAGACTGGCATCTAAAATCTCAGATAATTTCATGCCAATAGAGAAACTCTGGTTGTGTTAAAAGATTCTGTAACTCAATGGATACATGAATCAGTAGTTTTATACCTTCAGTTGTTGACCTTTGTTCCCCGATTTACTAATATTGATCAAGCCTTTTCTACCGTCCTACAGTATAAAATAAGTAGTAAAAGCTGGTACAATTGTTGCTTATTGTTGTCGTATCGCCTCAATAACGGTATCTGCGATTCTCAAAGCTGCAATATCAGTATTGGAAATGAAAAAGTTGTATCACACCTAAATCTATTTCATGTAAAACCGTTTGCTGGTCTTGTCTGATGATTTCATGAATTTTTTCAAGGAACTATGACACATTTAAGTTATTTTAAATGTCTATTAGAATTAAAATATGATTAACAACTGCACAAATGTCCTTTTAAACTAAGCAAGTCCATTAACATATATTAAAGTTCAATGTATTTATTTAATGAGAAAAATGTCAATGTTTTTCAGGATTTGACAGACCACAGAAACCAAAAAAGAATAATAATGATAGATTCCAATCTCTAATGGACTGACCAAAGCATCACCACAAACCCATTAAAATAACTAGAGCTCTATCATATTTAAGTAACCATTATCCCAGTTAAAGGAGATCAAACCATTTTAACTGGTTCATAAAATGATAACCAAGTTTAGATTCCACAAAAATGTACCCACAGAGAAAGCTGACGGAATAAAATTTTTAAGATAGGAAAAAGAGAAAAGAAAAACTTTTCCATCTCAGCAAGGTAAACATGATTTCCGAGCATTTTCATTACCTCTGCTTTGATACCCCCTAAACAAATGTGAAAGTAGGTCAGGAAAACTGAACACTAATTTCCCCTCGAGTTAAAACAAAAGCCAAATTTCAGCAAATCGACATGTTTTCTTTCTCATCTAACCTTTAGGCCACTTCAAAACATCACATAATTGTGTAAAACATGATCAGCTGCAGAGGGGTCTGCAATGATACCTGCTGTAAGCTGGTCCTCACTGAGATATCAGAAACATGGAGTGATGGGGGACTAGGCTGATGCATCCCAGGCTGTCACATCACACATTCACACACAACCTAATCCTCCCTTTACTCACACACACTACTGATACCATGCTGTAAATAAAACAGGAGATGACCCAACCGTGGTGACTTTGCACCTTTAAAAGTAGGCTGAGGTAAAGTAAGGAGCATAGGACTAGAGTAATAAAACCAATTTATGGCAATAGCATGAGAAAAAGGAAAGCTGTGTTTATCCAAGCCTCTGATGACACTCAAACAAACCACATGAACTCAGTCAAGAGGCACTCCCTGACCCCTTCAATCATGAACTACTTTGTTTTTTGTTTTGTTTATGCAATATCGAAACAATTCCTGGAGCGCAGGCCTGTAACTAGCCTTTTAGCCAAATCCCCCCATAAAGCCACAGGTCAGCGCTCTGAAAGAGATGACGCCCATCAGCTCTACGCCGTAGCATCGTCTGACCTGAACACTTTGCCAAACACAGGGTCTGCCCATGCTTTAGCTTTGGCAGCGTTGGCGCTTTCACGCGGCTAAAACATCTTGCTAGGTGATATCACGAGCAACAACGAACAAAGCCGGTAACCGGCGCGAGCGACCCGACATAGCTCAGTGATGGAGCTCCCCTGCATCACATTATAAAATACATTTATACATCGAAATTAGAGCCCGGATACTAGCTTATGTAAATACAGATGAAATAAAATACACCAAAACACCGTAAAGTCCATAAAATCAACCTGACAGCTATTAGCTAGCACAACCGGCTTGATTAGCTAGCACTAGCACACTTAGCAGGCTAATTGTACCCTCCCCTCCCAGCTGCCTCCAACCGAAACTATCATCCCTACATCCAACCATGGCTACCTTCCGATAATTCAAACCCTGGGCCAGATGTTGACAGAGGAAAAAGTAGAATATATATGATCAAATTGGTGCGTTACCCATGTGAAAGGATACGGAGGTGGTGGTACGGCGCCAGGCTGGGGAGCAGTTGGGGCTCCCGGCGGTAGAGACACGGAGGTCAGGGTAGCCCGCAGTTGGTTCGACTGAGAGGGGCCACTTCCAGGTCCGCTAACTGCGACAGCGGTGGGCTTAGCGACCACTTTCGGTGGCAAACTCATCGCAGAAAAAGAAAAAAAAATCAAAAATAAAACACTAATAAATACTGATGCAAGCAAAGCTTAGCTTGCATTCATATAGTAAGCGTAGCTGATCCTGAAGCAGGCCCCAAATCCCTTTAACGAGCCGGGAGAACGAAGCTCAAATAGCAAAACACAAAAACGTCTTTTTTTTCATGGAAAGTCGCTGTTCGGATCAGCGGTGCTGTTCATGGGGACGGTTGGGAGGTTTAGCCTCCCTCGTCCGTCCGGGAACCTCTGCGGATCCGGCTCGGTTCGTTTTCTTCCAAACCAAACAAGTGGCCGCGCTCTTCTTGCTCCCTCGGCGTTTTACCTTTTCTTCTCGGCAATTATGTTTTCTATCATTTTTTTTCTCACAGAGATGGGAGACTTCGCCAACATGGCGTTGCGGCCGCTTTCAGCAGTCCGGGCAGGACAGATGATTCGGCAATCCTCGGCCAGTTACGGAGTCGCTCGTTTAATCAACTAACCTTCAATCAAAACACACGCAACGCGCCTCAAAACTTGGATTAACGCCATTTTCCCATTTTTTTATTAACATATTAAATTCTATAAAATAATTTTAATTAAGAACTTAAAAACGGGACTAAAGCTGCAATTAAAAAATGTCAAAAACTTACATGCATTGCACTATATTTTATATACTCTAAATGATTGTAATTTAGGGGTTCATAAATTAAATAGAGTCATTTTAATGTCCAATAAGTAATTAATAATTAGACAGATAAAGGAATACCTATTAAATAACCACAGACCACTGACAGTGCAGTTAAATGCCACTGTTGAGTCGGAATTTAAAACAAACGTGATAACAGCGCCATCTACCGTTCAAATGCAGACATTACTCATATTTTACTTTAAAAAAATCATCTAAATAAATATAAAACGCAATCTAAACGTAAATTTAGACAATTCAAATTAAACCATAACACTTAGAAATATTTGTTATTGCCTCTGTATATCGATTTGTTTTTCCTGCAAATTAACCTAAATTAATATGATTGGGTATAGCACTGTGAACAGCCAATTTTGTGCGCTGTAACCATTGCATTGAACAAACATTTGAAATATATCATTCTGTGCATAAATCTATGTAATAAATGAGTGTTTAAAAATTGTTTTACTGAATAACTTGAATGTTTTCATGATATTATTACTTTCCCAGGTTATTCTAAAGGTAAATAACACAAAAACAATCTGTGAAAATGGCACAAATAACTTTTAAGATCGATTTTACTATACAAAATAATTTGTGACAAACTTACAAATAAAACAAATTATGTTACATCATGGCTTGAGAAATTGCTAATGTTCTAAATGACACATTTTTATAACAATCATTTTAAAATATTGCAAAGGCTTAATAAAAAACAACAACTGTAGAATAAAAACACAACACTTTAAAAAAAAACATTTTTTTTTATATAAATCTTGTAGGTAGCTTTTAAAAAAAATACCTATAAATAAACCAAAGCAGATCAAAGCACAGTGAAAGATGACATACATTCAAAAAAAGAAAGAACAAATATTTTTGCTTCTCCCTTGCTTAATGAACAGGCAGTTTGTGTAATTGTTTTTCTCCTGCCGTTGTGGAACTACGTATTTGGTTTCCAGTGTAGAAAACACATTTGTAGCTACGTTTAAGGTGAGGCAAACTATGTTTTAAATTAACAGTCCTTGTGACGAAGCAGAAAAGGCTGCTGTCTGCCACCTGAAGCAGGCACAGGTTGACCAGATAAAGAACCTGACAAGCGTGGAGTGGGACGGCGTTAAGGGATTCAGTGGTTCTTGTATTTCCGTCCGAAGAGACTTCGTCAGTGTGGTGGAAGTTTCTCTGTGTCCTTTTCACTGTTTGTTGAAAGGCGGCAAGGTCACCAGAGCTCACACTTATTTTTGGGGTTCATTGGAGCATCTGCTTTGCAGCCAAAGTGCTTTGAGAATTCCCGTGAGTTGGAGATGGTGCCGATGACTCTGAATCTTGACGGGCTGTGAGGATCAGTGATCACCCCCTCATGCGAGCTCTCGGGTGTCCTGACCGCACACCATACCTACAAATAAAAAAATAAAACATCTTTTAATCTCACCAATTTATATCCAGCCTCAATGATCACAGCTGCTTACTATCACTTTAGTGCATTCAAATTTTTTCCTGATTTTAAATAAACAAAAGACATGTTTGAGGTAAATGATTTGAATGTTTTTGCAAAGATGGATTTATGTTTTTTTTTTTTTTTTGTACTGACTTAACTCCAAATCTTTTCCAGGTTTTCCTCTAGTCGTTTGACAGCAATACAAGCTTCGACACATAAGAATGTTAATGTCTGGGTGTCTTTATACACTGGTGAGCTAAGAAAACATTATTTAGTGGAATCACATCTGAAAAACGAGCCAATGAATATATCTGATGAGACTTAGCTGTTACATCCTTAAATTAGGATTGTGATCAAAGTAATAATAGCATACAGTGGAGTTAAAAAGTATTTGACTGTTATAGCCCACCTGTCCTTTATAAAAAAATGTATTTCCCTATATGTCAGTTCTTATGTGCCTTAATTGTATTTATCATCCCTGCATCACTAAGGAAGCATTCTGGGCCACTCTTGGCAGCTGAATTGCTTCAATTAAGACGAAATGGAGGGTCTTCAAGGTTAAATTCTCTTGTTTTGGGTCACACCTTTAAATTAAAGACCAGAATTTCATCTGGCCATTCCAAAACCTTTGATTTATTTCTTTTTTAGTCATCTAGAGATGAATTGCTTTTGCTCTTAAGATTGTTTTGTGTTTTTCAGTAGATTATGATTCATGATTAGTTTAATTGCAGCAGGTTGTTCAGGTCCTGAAACAGCATGGCCCCCACTGCGTTTGTTGGTGTATTTGTAACAATGCTGTGTTGGTTTTCAGTATCAGAGTGCACCCCTTCCAACAACCTATGAGGCAAGTCATATCAGTCCATAGAATATTTTAAGCAAATTTGTTTATAGGCCTTAATGCTCTCTTTAATCAGCAGGGTCTTTCACTCTGGAACTTTGAGATGCTGCCATTTTAACATCTCTTTTTATTGTTGAATCATTAACAATGGTATTAACTGAGGTAATTTACAGAAATACATCTTTAAATGTTGTTCTGTGTTCTTTTGTGACCTTCTGAATAACTTGTTGATGTTTATCTTTAATAAAGCAGTATCTCCAGGGAAGGTTTGCCTTTATGTTTTCTCTACTGTGGTTAACTGGAGTCCCAAACCTTCCTGACTGAGAGATGTCAATGACTGTGTTTTAAATCTGCTATTTAATTACTTCATGCTTTCAGTCAGTTTATTTTTAAGTCAGTTTTTGATTTAACAACTCAATAAAAACTGGAGTATGCCTATAGAAACTGAACTTATACAAAATATATGTGATTACACTGAGTTAAGTTAGATTTAAGAAACAAAAGGTTTTTTTCTTTTTTATAAATAGATCCGTATTTAAAAACTGCAAGTTATGTTTAGTCTGGTCAATTATTTCTGATATATATCTAAATACTCATTAACAACAAAGCAATTACTTTATTTATCTATCAAAAAAGAAACAAAAAAAAAAAGAAAACTGCTGTTTTTTATATTGTAGAAAACTACAAATGGAGATACAGATTATAATTTCATGTTAATTAATTTTGTTCATTAAAGAGGAAATGGCTTTCTAATGCCAATACGATCAACACACACCTGTGCAAATCCCACAAAAAACAGCTGATGGTTCGTCATTCCCAGCGCCGGCAGCGTTGCTTCTTCACCATTCTTTCTGATCCAGTTCACATAGGCCTTAAAGCAACAAATAATCATGTTACACGTATGGAATCAGTTTTCTCTCCACTTAGGAAAGTACACATAGGATTAAACTTTGAATTATCCTGCTGTGGGAAAGTTTCTGCTTCCTGCTCAGTCATTGCTTTAGTTCCCAGTTACCTACTCATCCTCTTCATAGCATTTGACCTTTGATTACATGGAAAGAATGTGTTCATGTGAGGAAGTAACCAGAAGCTGACAAGGCCACTCATAGCCACCTGTTGCCCTGCCAGGCCTCACTGGAAACCCAACGACATAGTTTTTCCAATACAGAAAATTCAGGATGACCAACGAAAACTTCCACAGCTGGGATGATGGATGTCTGACCTTATAAATGGTCAAATCTTATCAAGGTTTTATCAGCACACGTAGTCACATTTTGACTCATTTTCTTTAAGAAATATCACCAAACATCTGGGAAATTCACCCCGACCTTGTAAGCAGCTTTTAATCCCCCGTTGTCAGCAATGTTCTCCCCCAGTGTGTGTCTTCCATTCAGAGGCTCTTTGTTGATGCTATAATTGCCGTATTGCTCCACCATGCACTGCGTCTGCCTCTTGAAGGCCTCCACGGATGAATTCTTCCACCACGGCCGCAGATTTCCATCCTTGTCATATTCCCTTCCTTGAAATTAAATCATAAAGTTTGCCCCATTTACTTATTTATTGAAGAAAAAATGAATCTTTATGGTTGTGTCCCTTTCATTAACAAACCTTGGTCATCAAACGCATGAGTCAGTTCGTGTCCCATTACAACTCCAATTCCACCAAAGTTAAGAGCTCTGAAAAAGAAAAGACAAAAATATAATTAAAGTTAAAAAAGCATATCTATTATGACTATTAAAGCGATTTATTATACAGCTGAAATATGTTATAAATGTTTGAGTGGGAAGAACTTTTGGGAAAGAAATTTCTCTCAGAAAATAGGAAGAAACTATTCTTCAGTATCTTTTTGGGTTAAAATAATTATTTCATTAAGTTGTATTTTTTTAATGCAGTGTTGCAATTAAAATGCAATTTTGTTAGTGTAAAAATAAAACCCCTGTTGTAAAAGCAGGGGTTCGATAAGCATAGGACTACCACTCCCTTTTAAGTTTATAATATCTGCACATTAGGGCTGAACAAATTAATCAGATTAATTGTGATTAATCAATTATTGAAATACTCGTCAAGTAATCCTTTTATCTACTGGAGTATAGAGACTCTAAAAGACGCCTTTATCTGACAGAGCAACGAATTAGAGCAGTAATTATGCCAAAATCTTAAAAAAATATGTAAACTTTTACATTTAAGATAAAAATATATATATATTATCTGCCAATCTTCTCTATCCAGAACTCCTGAAGTGAAGAAAGTTTTAGCTTCAGCTGGTTTGAATTCTGTAAAAATGTTCTTTAAGGAACCTTTTACTATCTGGTTATCAATCGAAAAAATAATCAACAGATTGATGGATGATTAAAATGATCGTAAGATGCAGTTCTACTGCAAATTAAAGTATGTACAAAGTGATTTGCATGTCTGAAATCCATAAGGAAGGACATACTTTGGCCATGATCGGCTGTAGAATGGAGCCTGAAGGATCCCTGCTGGTAGAACCATCTCATTCTTTGTTGGGTTATAATATGCATTTACAGTTGGAGGTGTCATGCTCCACCTGCAAAACAAGAACCACAAAGATAAAAGGATTTGCTCACTTCAAGGTCATGGCCTAAAAAACATAATGGAGTTTCTCATTCTTCACGCCAGATGGGCTACAGATCAGTTTAGAGGGCATTGGAAGAGCAAACCATCCCCTCTCCAAACAGTCAATTAAAGACAAGGAATCGGTTCAGTGGAGAGAAGCTGGTTGCTGATGGCAGCAGTATTCTGCTGAGTCGGTGCAATGCCAATGTGTTCCCATTAAAACATACTTCCTTCTCTTTGTGAAGACAGGCAGCAGGGAAGAGCTACTCACTGATTTCTGTTGGGAGTTTTCCTCAGCTGGTCAGCGGTCACTCTGGCTGAGAAGTTGTAGTACTGCATGACATTCTGGAAGTACAGATCTGACACCACCATAAACTAAAAGAGAGGAATGACAAGAAAAGTCAAATAAAATGTACAGTTTAACGGCTTAAAACAGGAACATGTGATAGATAGAATCAGCAGGTACTCTTTCAGCGTGCAGCCCCTACTTTTACCTACATCATTGAACACTTTGTCCAGCTTTGTGGCATTCATAATAAACTCCGGGTATCCAATCATGTTGTATATAGCATCTGCCTGTAAAAAACGAGAGACAAAAAACATAAAAGGCACACATTTACAGCAGATGGCGGTGCTGTTTCACTGTTGTTCTGCATTAGCAGTTTCCTCTAAAAAAGAGAAAGCAGCTTCAACTTAAATTTCAATAGGTAACTGAACTAAATCAAGCAGATCCAATTTCATTTATTCAGTTAATAAGTTGTCAAGTTAAACCATCCTAAATAAATGATGTTCAGCAAACTGAATTTAATTACTTGTTATCAATTGAAGCAACTCTTTTAAGCTGGATCTATATTCTTCTTTAGAGTGTGGGAGGAAAAAGGCTGATCAGTATCTGTTCCTACCTTTTCTTTTGCTGCTTTTTTTGTGTCTGAATCCATCCAGCTCACATCCTTCAAGCTATCCTCAAACGCCCATTTAATTTCTGCAACCATTTCTTCAGCCTAAAGCAACAGAAGGGACCAAGATGTGTACAATAAAAATAGACGCTCACAATGTCACAGAGCAGTGGGAGGTTTTAGGATGAGGTACTTACAGTGGCTTTGCTGTCCTCTGTGAAGGTTTCCTTGACAAAAAGGGCACCGAGGGCAAAGCCTAAGGCACTGTCTGTGTCGCTGACACACACTTTCCAACGTGGAATGCAGCTCTACAAAAACAGGACATGTTTTTTTTCCATGTCATCATGCAAAATTAGCATTTTCAATGTTACTTTATTCTGTAAAAGTTTATAAAAACAAATCCACTGGACTTGGTTTCCAAGATTTAAAGACATTTCAGACAGGTTTCAGATATTACAGGCTAACAATGGAACCAAACCACCCACTAATCGGTTTCCAATTGCATGTTTCCAAGCAATACAAGGCCTTGTCTCTATAAAGACTCAAACTTACTGCCGATCCAGACATTTGAATTGAGAAAGCTTCCTGGAGAGGTAGCGAAACGTCTTCAAATCTTGGAAACCAAGTCCAGTGGATTGTTTTTTTTAACTTTTACGGAATGACTATGACCTGGATGACTGAGAATCTTCATCAGCAAATGTTACTTTATGCACAATGAGCAACATTTCTTGTGAAATTGTAGATGATACATTCCTACATTGTCTAGAATGCTGGTGAAATACTGGTGAAACCGTTGCTGAGGTGAAGCTAAGGCTACATCCACATGGAGTCCAAAGGGGATGTTTCATGTAGGATGCTACCTTTAATAATATAAACTGCACTAATAACTAAGGATTTGGGATTTGGAGATTTTCAAAGAACCTTCTGAGTATAGTGAATTTTTGAAAATAATTACTAAAGGAAAATGAATAATAAATACGGTAGGAAACAAATTGTATCCTGGTTTGTAAAGCTTAGTTTTTTTCCCTGCAAAACATTTTTGTTATTCCCTATAATTTCTATTTTGTATCTTAATTCTGAGTGGTAGAAACTGAAAATTAAGGTTTACCACTTAAAGGGATAGTTCCGACTTTTTTTTCCCATTATTTAAATTTTATGGGCATTCAATATATTACCAGAAGAAGCTAACTTTCATAGTGCTATTTGTTTATATAATCCTAGATCCAGTATGTTGCCATCTGACCAGCTCTGATAAAGCCAAATCTAAAGAGGATTCTATCTTGATTAAAAAAACAACAACAAACATCTGTCAACATGTGAAACTAGTAAACTTTTGGGGGGGGGGGGGGGGGGGGGGGGGGGGGGGGTTTGCATTGAAAAGTCATTTCTACAAAGAAGAGAAATGATTTACTCTGGAAATGGAGTTTGGTGCGTCACAAAACAGTTTCTTGGTTAAATGTAAACTAAGCATGGAACAAGACAGGTTATTACTGTAAAAAAGAATACTTCCTTTTTCTCATAGAGAAAAGTCACATTAGAGACTGAAACTTCAAGGTTATCCCAGTGATCATATCTGAACCTGTTCTGCAGAAGCTTAAGCAGTTCTCACAAAAACTATTCGGAAACAAAGTCTAGTAATCTGTTCCCCTAAACCCTCTAAACTGGTCTATACACTGTCTGTAGATCACAAGCAGAGAAAAGTTTTCAGGAATGCTTTAAAAAAGTATTTCTTAACTACAAAATAAGGTATATTCAAAATTTACAAAATAAAAAAGAAGCTCAAACCAAAAAGGAAAATGAACTCAAATGAAAAACTTTATATAATTATCTAAACCCTTCAAGTATCTAAAGATAAACAATTCTTACTGTGCTAACTAAATTAAAACCTGCAAACACGTCTAAATTAAGAATTTGAGAAAATATTTCTTCCAGTTGTAAAACAGGATTTATTTCCTGAAAACAGGTGATAAAAAAGTCCCTGTTTGATGAAGATATCATTGCGTCAAAGGAAGGACAAGGATACTGCAGGAAACACGGAGCAGTCTGAGCAAGCAAAGCAGTGAAATCCTACTTGAGGATATGGAAAAAGAGACAGAGCTGCCCTATTACGCAAAACAAAAACACAAAGAGAGATAGGCTTGGTTTGTTTTTAGAGCTTGACCCCTCCAAGAAACACAGCAGAAGGAAAAGGATCTGACTAAGATAAGAACTGGGGTCACTGGAACTTCAGCAGTCCAACAATTACGCACCAGATCTGGCAGAACACATAACAGACTTACTAAACCCACAAAAACTAAACCCACGGTTACTAAACCCATGGTTACTAAACCCACAAAAACTAAACCCAGGGATACTAAACCCATGGTTACTAAACGCACAGATACTAAACCCACGGTTACTAAACCCATGGTTACTAAACCCATGGATACTAAACCCACGGTTACTACACCCACAAAGACTAAACCCACGCTTACTAAACCCATGGTTACTAAACCCATGGATACTAAACCCACGGTTACTACACCCACAAAGACTAAACCCACGGTTACTAAACCCATAGATACTAAACCCACGGTTACTAAACCCATAGATACTAAACCCACAAAGACTAAACCCATGCTTACTAAACCCATGGTTACTAAACCCATGGTTACTAAACCCATGGATACTACACCCACAAAGACTAAACCCATGCTTACTAAACCCATGGTTACTAAACCCATGGATACTAAACCCATGGATACTAAACCCACGGTTACTACACCCACAAAGACTAAACCCACGCTTACTAAACCCATGGTTACTAAACCCATGGTTACTAAACCCACAGATACTAAGCCCACGGTTACTAAACCCATGGTTACTAAACCCATGGTTACTAAACCCATGGTTACTAAACCCACAGATACTAAGCCCACGGTTACTAAACCCACGCTTACTAAACCCATGGTTACTAAACCCATGGTTACTAAACCCATGGTTACTAAACCCACAGATACTAAGCCCACGGTTACTAAACCAATGGTTACTAAACCCATGGATACTAAACCCACGGTTACTACACCCACAAAGACTAAACCCACGCTTACTAAACCCATGGTTACTAAACCCATGGATACTAAACCCATAGATACTAAACCCACGGTTACTACACCCACAAAGACTAAACCCACGCTTACTAAACCCATGGTTACTAAACCCATGGTTACTAAACCCATGGTTACTAAACCCACAGATACTAAGCCCACGGTTACTAAACCCATGGTTACTAAACCCATGGTTACTAAACCCATGGTTACTAAACCCACAGATACTAAGCCCACGCTTACTAAACCCATGGTTACTAAACCCATGCTTACTAAACCCATGGTTACTAAACCCACAGATACTAAGCCCACGGTTACTAAACCCATGGTTACTAAACCCATGGATACTAAACCCACGGTTACTACACCCACAAAGACTAAACCCACGCTTACTAAACCCATGGTTACTAAACCCATGGATACTAAACCCACAAAGACTAAACCCACGCTTACTAAACCCATGGTTACTAAACCCATGGTTACTAAACCCATGGATACTAAACCCACGGTTACTACACCCACAAAGACTAAACCCACGCTTACTAAACCCATGGTTACTAAACCCATGGTTACTAAACCCATGGATACTAAACCCACGGTTACTACACCCACAAAGACTAAACCCACGCTTACTAAACCCATGGTTACTAAACCCATGGTTATTAAACCCATGGATACTAAACCCACGGTTACTACACCCACAAAGACTAAACCCACGCTTACTAAACCCATGGTTACTAAACCCATGGTTACTAAATCCATGGATACTAAACCCACGGTTACTACACCCACAAAGACTAAACCCACGCTTACTAAACCCATGGTTACTAAACCCATAGATACTAAACCCACGGTTACTAAACCCATAGATACTAAACCCACGGTTACTACACCCACAAAGACTAAACCCACGCTTACTAAACCCATGGTTACTAAACCCATAGATACTAAACCCACGGTTACTAAACCCATAGATACTAAACCCACGGTTACTACACTCACAAAGACTAAACCCATGGTTACTAAACCCACGTTTAATAAACCTACAGTTACTCAACCCACAGTTACTAAACCCAGGGATCCTAAACCCATGGTGGCTAAACCCAAGATTAATATACCTACAAATACTAAACCCACGTTTACTAAACCCACGGTTACTAAACCCATGTTTACTAAACCCATGTTTACTAAACCCACGGTTACTAAACCCACGGTTACTAAGCCCACGTTTACTAAACCCACGGTTCCTAATAACTAATAATTGCAATAATACCTTAGAATAACATCCATTCCAATCACCTGCCTTCAGGCATCACCAGATTAACAAGCAGAATCCACCTTTATTTCATAAAATTTGTTTTTTTATGTATGAAAATAAAACTTCACAGAAAAACTGCACTTCGAGTATTAGTTGTGTAAGAGAAAGATAAGAATCAATGTTTGCAGGTTCCTACAAGCCATATGGGGGTAAAGCAAATGTGAAATAGGATATTTTGCACAGATAAAAACAAAGTTTCCAGTGTTAAAACACTTGATCTGATAAAACTTGTTTTTAAACCTAGCTTGTCACCAACAGATTAACCAGCAATGGTAAGTTGTCCCAAAGTGAAAAGCCCCTCACCTGCAGAAACCCTCATTTTTCCTTGAACCTTATTTTTGAGACACTGAATTACAAACACATTGCAGTCATATGTATTTAATAAAAACATAAAAAAAACTTGTTAAAAGTTATCAGTGAGGAACATACAGTCCAGTCAAGTTCTACTCTGAATGTATGAAAACAATGAGGACACACAACACAATTATTCTTGTTATCTCCATTCCCCAAACCTAAAAAAGTCTTTATTTTCTAAAGAAGTGGTTTTAAAGGTCTAATGAGTAGTTACACAGAATGGTGATCAAAGGGAACCTGTGTCCATCTGCATAAAGATAGCTGATGGAAAGTCATGCATGTTTTGTCATAATTACATTGTAGGCATAAAAGTTAAAGTACAGGTTAGTGACAAAAGGTAGATGTACTTTGTTTTGTATGAAGATTTATGTTGCAACTTCTGGTTGGATAGGTTTTGGCTTTGTTTGCTATAATGAGTTAATTCTTAACTGATTTTGCACATTGTGGTTTTTAGGGTGTGTAACACAATACGTCTGCCACAGTTTCAGTCAGCCAAAGTGACTTTATGTCTTTCAACATTCTTCCTTTGCATGCAGAAGACGGGCTCTAAAGTGGATTTGTCCATAGTTTTCTTAAAATAATATTCCTGACCTGATAAATGGCCCTTTTTTGCCTGGTCTCTTTGCCTCAAAGCAAAAATGCAGGTTATAGCATGAGCTTCACTGTTAGTTGTTGGTTAATAGTTTGTTTACCCTTAAAAACATTTCAATGTTAGAGTAAGTTAAGCACAGTAGTTGAGATGATAGATGGAGCAAAATGCAATTAAATCATTGAAGAAAATTAGATAAGAGTGCAAAAGACTTGAGATTGGAGGACAGATGTCCCCTTTTCAGCTGGTCAACGACCCTTAACATCCAGCAAGAGCTACAATGAAACGTTGTGTTAGAATGGTCCAGTTAAAATCCAGACCCAAATATTGTGATTTACAGATACTCTCCCGCTAATGTAACTGAACTATTGAGGAGCCATGTGTAGATCGGGTAGAGAACAATACCCTCAGATACCTTTAGCTGTAATTGCACGTGTTTAAAAATGGTTGTGTTGGAGTAAACATTGTAGCAATAAGGTTGAATTGTAAGGACATTTGAAAAAAAAAGAAAAAAACATATTAATTGCTGTGACCAAATATAAAAACTAAGAATTTCTCAGCCTCTTATTTTCACAGTCTTTAACTGTTTTATGTATAATCTTTTTAATTATGTCACAGGTGTAAGTACCCAGTGCATATTTTGTATTTGTAAAACAGTTAGACATCTAGGTATCCAGTGACATTAACATATCAAGCTACTAAGAAATATTGAAGGTCAGGGAAATTTCTCAACTGTTTTTAAAAAATGGGGGATTTTAAGAGACAGTGAATAAATAGAAGTTTCTTAAAGTAGAGTCAGTGTTGTGAGACGCCAAAGGTCACTGTTTAGTTTTATGATGCTTTCCTGATTCAAATTACTTCAATAGATAGATAGATAGATAGATAGATAGATAGATAGATAGATAGATAGATAGATAGATAGATAGATAGATAGATAGATAGATAGATAGATAGATAGATAGATAGATAGATAGATAGATAGATAGATAGATAGATAGATAGATAGATAGATAGATAGATAGATAGATAGATAGATAGATAGATAGATAGATAGATAGATAGATAGATACTCAGTTTTCAGGCTATATAGTTCAAAAGGCTAACAGCGTTTTGCACAAACAAACCCTTACACACTTTCTTTGTTGCTAGAGGCATTGCTAACATGTGATCTTATCTACATTGACAATCAGAGAGTGTTGCTTGCACCATTGTTCAACCATTGCACAGAAGCCTCATAACCGCAGCTGATGTTAGGGCCATAAACAGCCATATCATCAGCGTACTTAATGAGTTTAACATTGCAGTCGTCTATTTGCAGGGCATTCACTATAGGATTTATTTATCTAACACATGCGACATCAGTTCACATGTGTGATATTGAAGTTTTTCTTTACTTAGATCAGTTTCACTTCTAAATTTTGTGCTAAAAGAAGACTAGGGGAATTTAGAAGAACTAAAACTTTTTCTTACCTTCTTAGTCCCATACATGACTTCTAGGAAGCGCTGCTCTGCATCCTGGAATCTTTGGTCTAAAACTGAAACCATCTTTCTCACCACCTTCATTATCATATAATTGTTGAGTAGGCTGCAAAATAGAAAACATCACATCATTGTTTTGCCCTCCGTTAAACACTGTGCCTGTTGTCAGAGAGCTTTTCCGTCACCTACATCATTTAAAGGGATAAATGTGCAGGGTATTTACCTTTTATTTGTGTTTGTTATGAGCTCAGAGACCTTCTGGAGGTATTCTTTGGCATAAACAACAACAGGCTCTGAGTCGTTAAGTGTAACAGGCGTGAACACTTCTGTCAGATACGGCATCCAATCAACCGCAGGAGCCAGGTTCTGCACCAGAACATGGATATAAGTTAGGATTGCTCTGAACACAATGCCTGTAACTTCTCTGCAACCTTAAAACCGTCACTCACTTTTAGGTCCTTAGCCTGTACTTTAAAGTAAATAAGCTCCTCATCCCTCCTCTCCTCTTGAGGCACTGTGATGTTGGCCAGGGTGGTTTCGAATTCCACAATTTCTGTCATTAGCGTCCGAGACGTTTCCTCTGAGCCGCCCAGGAGGACCCCTAACTCCACCAAGAAGTTGAGGTACGCTGTGAGGTACTGCACAGACACAGGTTGGTTATGTGACAAGATTTCATCGGGAAAGGACTCTGAGCCTAGGTCAAACTCTAAATAAATAAAAAAAATCTCAAACTCTTAACGTGTGCACATTTATGCCGTAAAATCTGCATTCTACTGTTAATAACTTGACTAGATTACCTTTTCATTGGCTGTTTTGTTGAGGTAGTAATCCCTTGAAGGCAGTCCAAGGCTGGACTGATCCACCTACAGATAAGAGACACATCCAGTGAATTTCTGCCTGTCTTCCATTTGAACACTCAGACACAACCTACTGTTTTCATTCCTCAGGTATACGCATCCATGTTAAGTAGCAGAGGCTTGCAACAGATCATCTCTTTAGAACTTGTAGATCTCATGATGCAGGATAAACAAATAAACCCATCTCCAAGCAACAGAGCGAATGTGACTCCCCCATAAAATTATGAGGATTATCACGGGAATGTCAAACAGAGATAAAATCAGACGCTTTAGGGAAGCCTATGAAGGCGGCTTTTGTAAGGATCTACAGGGACATGACTGAGAGTGATCTTCTCTACACTTAAATATGTATTTTGGATAATTACGTGCATTATGTAAACGGTACACACCTGGATGACATTGCTGTTGGAGTTTTTGGAGTCTGTGCTCACAAAGACGGTGAAAAAAGGGGAGGTCCTTAAACTGGCAGACACAGTTCTGAGAACCTCTTGGAAATTGTCCTTGTCCCAGGGCTCCGTGAGAGCCCACCCTCCTATCTGAACCAGAAAGGGATGCAACAGACACACAGTGACGCAAACAACTGGAAGTAAAAATCAACAACAGGAACTGTAATTTCTTTTGATGTTTGATGTCCCCGTAAAGAAGCATACCTGGCTGATTAGCTGCTGCAGAGGCTTTGCTCCTAATTCTTCGATCTTTGACTCATTCATGCAGGCTTGATAGTATTGCTGGGCTTTTTTCTCCGCTGTGCTCAGTTCTTTTATTGTGGTGTTTTCTGCCCAAGTGAAAAAAATCAAGTAAATGAAGTCAGTGTAAAAAAGGCTATAACTTAATTTTGTGTTTTTGTTGCAGAACTGAACTTTAAAACATTTGATTACTCTCAAGCACAGCAGTTTTACAGGATTTTACTCTTGTTCTTGTTCTACTAATACTTCATTTGATGCCATATCTCAACATGGTTCAGAGATTCCTAATAGCACTGCTATGGTTATTTCTGGTAGCCACATAGTTATCTCAAGCTGATCTTTGCTCCTTGCAGTTGGACACCTGTGGGCAGCTCACCAGTATAAGGGACTGGCTCTGGACATCAATTACTGTTTGAACCTTAATGTGACATCAAATGGGTTCTTCCTTTTTGTTTGTCAGTCTAAAGACACTACTGAATCTACTGCTTCAGGTGATATTCATGATTTTACATTTTTGTTTTATATAATATTGTATTTCCAGTTTTGCTTTTCTTGGTAAGACTTTGAAGAATCAGGAGCAGCTTTTTCTTACTGAAGCTCTGAGTGTAAAGACTTTCTACAAGCATACCCGTATAACAACAATTGTTATGAAATTTATCTCTTTTCAGTACAAAATGCAGTTTAAACAAGAGAAGAACCGACGCATGTTTAACAATCCCGAATATCATGGTCTGAAACCTTTCTGATGCAAAGAGCCATTTTACCTGGAGCCCAGCTAATAAAGTCATTCAGAGCTGCAAATATTACATGAAACACAAATTATCATTTTCTTTTAATAGTTAATTTTCTGATTTTAGTTTTAAGATACGTACAAAACATAAGACATTCACAAAGAGGAAGCAAGGATTTTGTTCTATAGGATAATATTTTATGTAAAAATAAAACATAGTTTCCAATCTAATGACAATAAATATGGATCTAAGTCATTCTGTAATGAAAATTACATTCAAATTTTCTTTTAAAACCCTGCAAAAGCTTGTAAGAACTGTGTTTGTTGATAGACTATAATAAAAACCATTAGGCCAAAAACGTGTTGCAGATTTGTTTGGGGGTCAAATTCTTTAGGCAGATATTGCACTCTCTTTCTCCATTCACACAATAAAAATGACACAATGATAAATTCTTCACATGTCTCAATTTTTAAAAAACCTTGAGGTGGCAGGGCTAAACTAATTAAACAGCGAATCCATACACGCATTGTCCAAAACTGATACAAGAAAAAAACATTTTTTAAACTTTCTTCTAGTTTTTCTAGAGTGATGCACTTCAGATTTGGACTTTTAAAGGGCTGCGCTATGCCACTAAATTAAGGCCAAAAACTAATAGTCTTCCTTAATAGTTTCCTTAAAAATAAACCTGGTTGTACTTTAACTTTTTGGGCAGTTTAACATCATGCTATCTTTTATTTTGTCCTGATGTCCTTTATGTATTTTTTTTTCTAGAAAAGCACTGTAAATTATTTTAGTTTTTTTTTTTTTTTTTTTGTTTAATTAATGGGCTTTACCTAAACAGTAATCAAAAAAATGTGGGAAAAGATTAATAAACAAAGGATGAAGACCAAAACATTGTTAAAACCTTATTAGAAAGACATAAAGCACACTAAAAGAAATAAATGAAAACAAATATAAAAGATTTAAGAACTTTTTTGTAAAGATATATTAGAATGTCTTCAGCTGCCCTCTGAATAAGTCAAGACGATGTAAAAACAAAGAAGAGGGATTCTATGGAGTTTTATGGTGGATCCTTAAGTTTATGAGTAGTTTAGTTTGGGACCCTTAGGGCTCATGGTGCGGAGTGTGCATTAAACAGTTTGGTAATATAGGAAGGTGTTTGACCATACAGACCCCTGAAGATTTATCTGAGGATTTTAAAAGCGTAATTAAAAGTAGAGGAAACCAATAAAACAGGAAGGATGAAAGCCCTTTTATTTAGGGTTAAGGATCTTTCTGCAGGGTCTTGCACCAACTGAAGTTGTAATAAATAAGAGCTCACCTAACAAGTGCTTCATCACAAGCATGTTGTGCTCCCACAGATTGCTAAATGGACCCCAGCGGGACTTCCCTTCAGGGAGAGGGTTGTTCTTCACCCAGCCCCCACAGGCAAAGTTGTAGAAGTCATGGCAGGGGTCCACAGATCTATTCAGGGCTCCCAGGACAGAGCTGGCGACAGTAATGCATGGCTCTGAAAGGCACAGGCCTGGGTGAGCTGCAACAAAAAGATACATGCAGAAGATAAGATGAACATTTTAGATAGTTCACACAGTTTGTGGGAAACATTAGAGAATCTGAAAATATTTCATGGTAAGACAAAAATGCATGAGGGTTTTTAGAGCATCTGGAAGCTATCATTTTATAAGCCAAAGAATACAACCTGGAGGGAATACTTGTCCCAAGAAAAGTCTTTCATAAACAGTGAGCTGAGAACTGACAAGAGAAAAGCAACATCTAACATCCTAATGCTAGCTTGGGGTTTTATAATTGAAGAGAAAAGAAATTGATTAAAGGATTCATTCACAAAGAACACAACTTCAAATTCTGCAAATATTGTTCATCTTTTAGTTCACAAAAAAAAAACATTGTAAAAAAAAAAAAACATTGTTTTCAGAGAAGTGAAAGTATTTGTCCTTATTTAGTACGCAAACAACTCAAAGAACAGCTCAATCCATAACTCTTGACCAGGACTGAGACCTTAACTATCTGTTTATATGAGGAATCGTACAGACATGCACATGCAGTAACCAGCAAGATGAGCTTAGATTTTCCTAAGACGATTGAATCCTTGTTCCTTTTATTATTTCAAAGAGTGATGCAAAAAGGGATCCTGAATAGGAGGAAGTGGTATACCGTTTCCCATGGTAGAGCTGAGGAAACCCAGACTGATGAGAAGCGGCCAGGATGCTGCAGTAAATCCATAAGAACCTTTCCCATAATGAACAAGCTCAAGGGAGTGATTTTGAGTTGCTTTCAGGCAGCTCAGTTAAAGCGCTTGCCTCAGTGAGAAAAAAATTAATTAACAAAGAACTGTACAAATTAAACACCAGCAGTTTATTACAGCTACACTGCAAAACATTTAAATATAAATTAGTTGTTTTTTCTTTAAAAAAGTTCGTATTTTCTTAAATTGGGGAGCTAAATGAGACACTTTGCCAATAAAATGTGACAATTTACATTTAAAACAGGGAAAAACAATTGCATTGTCTCATTTAAAGTGCCTAATATCTAATTATCTTATTTAAACGGCAAAAATACTTGTTTCATTGGCAATTCATCTTATTTACCTACTCAAATTAAGGGTAAATGCAGTTATTTTAAGAAATATTTACTTCTTCTAATTTGAAGTGGGGGCCTAGTGGCTAGGGGACAGGGTTTGGAATCCTGAGGTTCTGAGTTCGAGTCCCACTCCCACAGACTGCCACTCTGGGTCTCTGAGCAAGACCCTTAACCCCCAACCTGCTCCCTGGGCGCCCCTTGATGGCAGCCCACTTCTCCCCAAGGGAATGGGTTAAACGCAGAGGTCAATAAAGTTCAATTATTTTTCTTTACATAATTTTTGCATTGTATGCTATAGGAGAAATTTTATTTTAATAAGATGCGAATTTAAGCTTAAAAAAAGATCTTATGACTGGTCTGTTTAATAAATGTTTTTCTACAAAAAATAAATTGACTGGTTCTCAAAAATGAAACAATGTACTTAAAATAGAAATAAAAATATATTTCTGTGAATAGGAAGGTATATAAATAATCTTAATTTGAAGACATAATCTCTTTTAACTCAATACAAAAATACAACTATGATAACCATACAATATATATAAGATTTTTATTGTGCTTTAAGCCTACCACAATTGTGATTTATGGCATTAAAAAGTATTTAGGACATTCCAAGATGCTCAAAACGGTAACCTTTGCTCAAGAAATCAGTGTGACTTCTTGGTTAGGAAAATCTGTCCACCAGATTGCATCAAGTCTCCATGGTAACCAACTATTGCACTATTGGATTAAAATTTCAAAGCAGTATCGTAAATTTGTCACATAAACAGAAGAAGGTTAGTTGACAGCTCTGACGGTATGTCAACCTGAATTCAATTGTGTGGAGCCAGTCCACAATAATAACGCACTTGGTTTCTCTGGTTTTTCTTGTTCTGTGTGCATTTGCTAATGTAAATAATTCATGCAGTTATCTTGAATGAATATTTGCAGAACAGAGCAGTGGATTTATCAACCTGGCTGATAGCTTTGCTGGCCAAGGTTCATCTCCTAAATGGCTTTCCATACATCCAAACTCGGTCATTTGAAGCGATATAAGCTCCCGCTCATGCAGAAATGTAACGGAGAGTAAACTAACTAGCAACAACACGAGATAGCTGTAATTGGGGAGCTAGTAAAGCTTTGGGACCTATGCTATGGGGATGCCTAGGTTAAAGCTAAGACACAATAAACCCAATTAAGCATCCGATCTGACAGGATAAACTGATCATATGAAGTCATAGTACTAACATCTTATTGAAAGGAATGGGGCAAGGCAGACCGCTCACACTTCTCCACAACTGTGTCTGCTTTGTCCCTAACAAGGTAGACCCCTGGTCGGTCTTGTTCGGACATAAGCAGCAATTTGACTGGAATGTCAGGAGTATGACAGGAAGAGAGACACCTTGATAAGATCAAATGCATATGCTCTGGGGGAAATCAAAAGTCAAGTCTCTGGATTTCCCTTTGTAAATCCTCTGAATTACAAGGTAAATTGGCAAAGTCTATTACCATAAATGTGACATCTGGAAATATACAGCACACATTCTGGGTGAACATATCAGGCAGCGCAGAGTTGGGCATATGGAACCAAGAAAATATTTCTTTAAACAGAGTGTTTACTCTTATTAGGAGTTCAGAAGTACAGAAAACAGATAAAGTGAAACAAACATCTTTGTTGATTTTATTCCACATTCACAATTACTGACCAGCTTTTTTTATGCTGGGGACATTTCAGATACATCCTTCCCCATAAATAGACCTGTCCAGGGTGCACCCTGCCTCTCGAACGTAGGCAGCTGGAGATAGCCATCAGCACCCCGTGACAGAAAATGGATGGATGGACTTTCCCTTAAATAATCAATCTTACCAGTCTGTTGGTCCATAGAGGGAGCCTTTATGCAGCCAGTATGACAGAAAAAGAGTATCAGAGCCTGGATATTTAACGCCCTCATAGTGTTGTGTTTAACAACTCATCCTTTCACTGCTCAGGGTTACAAGCTTCTGTATTTCATCTTCCACAGTGACAATGTTTAACACTGCACTTATTTGCTTTTGTTTCCAGAAATACGTAGAACTGCGTCCCTTATTCAAAATCCAAAAATGTGTTGAGGTTGGAATGTGTTTCCTTTGGATCAATTTGGGATGGCCGATTGGTCAGTTGTAGAGCAGCCTAGACGGATTAACGTGTTGTGTCACGTCGATAGGCTGCCTCCTCAACAGTTGGTCATTCAGTCCCTCTTGCATTATAAGCTATCTATCCTCTGCCATTAATGATGAAGGTTTAACCTTACCCTGCATTATGTGCATTGATTCGAAAGGGAAAGTGATTTTGTCAGAGAAAGAACGAAAGAAACCGTCAAATAAGTGTTCAACATAAAAATAAACACACATGTGAAAAACAAATGACCCACCCTGTATTCATGTTTTTAGTGCAAAATATAGAAAGCTTTGATTATTTTGGCACATATTAGTGTTTTTGTAGCGGTTTCATTTGATGCACTTCTAAAACTCACCTTGATTATAAAAGACTCCAGTAGAGATGAGTGATAGAAACAGGGCGACTGAAAGGAAACACACTAATAGCAGAAGCCTCTTTTCTTTTTGGGTCTTGTCTGGACTACATGTGGTGCTCCTGCCTGGCAAAAAGGTCATCTGTACATAGAAATAAACACATAAAATATCTCATTTAAATCTGCAAAGCCATAAATAGTCAGAAAAGTTTTTAATACATGCCATTTTCTGCCTTTATAAACTATCCTACTGCAGAAAAACAGATTTAGGTTTTTGATTTGGTCACAGATTGAATAGAAGAAAACAATAGTTTTTCTGAAAAGGCCTTTTCAGCTGTTGTTAAACGAAAAGGTTATACATTCTTTAATTGTTCCTGGACTCTAAAATGACATTTACCGATTTGGCACAGGTTAAGAACATTTAAAAGACGGCACTGTATTTATGTTTCCTCATGTACAGCAAGTTAGAATTGTGTTTTAAGTTTTCACACTGTCTGTAAATTTCTTTATCATTAACTGTGCCTTATAGATGTACTTCTAATCCCACAAAAAGTAACTAAATGTCGCTTGTTTTCCTCCTCCCTTCACAGTTTGTGAGGCAGTCAAGAAATAAGCTGTTTCACAACTTATTAGCAGTAGAGAAAATAATCTGCTGATTATGATCTAAAGTTTGGTTGAGCTTTTACCTGCATGGGTGATGATGGGTAGGCATCGTCACCAGTGGAGTCCACCAGTTCCTCCTCATCCAGCGTTGCTCTCTTGTATTTTGACATCTGAAAAGTCAAATGAAGAAACGATTCTCTCAGTGCCTCCATGTTTCCGTCAATCCCCTATCTTTCCCAGGTGAGAGATCTGTGAGAAAGGTTTTCTCATTTGGAAAGTCTTTTGTTTTGCAGTCCCTGACGTTTTCTTTTAGGATCCATTCAATCAAATATATCTCTTTAAAACTATTCTACCCAAACTGGGAGCAATAATGGAAAGAAAAAAAAAATCAATCTCCAGTCAGTTTCTCTGAAAACTGCTCCCTGTCAGCACCTCTCACAGTCCCCATGGCTTCAGGCACAGAGACAGATACAACACCTAAAGTCCTCCTTCTGAAAGAAACATCTTCTCTTTCTTACTCTCTCTCTCTGTCCTTGGACTTCCTTCTCAGCCTACTCCGTACGAACACGGAACGAGAGAAGAAGGAACTAGTGAAAAACAGGAAGGAGCTCTGACTGCAGCGATTTACATGACTGAGACGGGGTGCGCACAAGTGATTGTGTGACGATTGTGTGTCTTTGTGCGAGCACATTCCTCAATGTGGTTTCACTTAGATTTGGGGAGGGAATCTCACCGCTGCAGTTTACACCCACTGCTGTTTCTATAGGATTAAATACACTAAGGGGTGGAGCATCCGAACAAAGGATCCTCCTTCGACGGCCTGCTGTGGTTATCCTGTATGCTACCTGACACACTAAACACAAAGGTCTAAATGATTGCAACCTGCAAACAAACTGATTGAAATTGAACAGAGGCACATCTGGCAAAATAGATAGAAATACTTTTTATATCATTGATAGCATTAAACTGGTATTAAAAAGTATTAGGCTACATCCAGGAATGTAAATTGATGAGGCCTGAATTAAAAACTCCTCCAGGACTCCTTGTCAGTTGTCTAAGGAGCCCATGGAAAATATCTGTATCAAGTTACACATCAGCCCTTAAAACAACATTAGTTATAGCTCTGTCGACTGCCCGGCTATCAGCGTGTCTTACCCCGAAAGGTCTCAGCCTTTCCTAGAGGTAATCACATCAAACTCAATTACAAATTTAGCTTACAGTCATTACAGACCTCATTAGAAGCAGTTCAATGTTAATTTGGGTTTGGAAGCCTTTTACCTTTTTGGTCTCATTCGGTTTTTCTCTCAATACTAGTTGTGAAATGACCAGTATTACAGTTTACCTGCCTAGGCTGACCAAATTTCAGCTCACAAGGAATAATGGTGCATTATGTTAAAAGCTGCTTGATAATATGGATTAGAAAGCAACAGAAGTAAACAGTTTCAATTGATGTGACAAATGCAATAATCTGAGAGCGAAGCTGCAAAAACTTTAATCTGAGTGACAACAGACAAACCTGTTAAAGTCAGTCAGATTTTTGTTTTTTATGTGACAATTTTGGCTCTTCGTGTTTAACTTAAATCAAACTTCTGCTTAGCATGAAACAAGAATGGAAGAATAGAGGCTTCTAACACATTAATTAGTCGTCTCTGCCCAATGTTAACAGTTTTCATCATTATTTTTCCTAAATAACTTCTGATAAATCAATCTCCATTAGAAGCTTAAGTAAGATGTTCATTAAGGCAACAGTAATTAAATCTTACCATAGGCTTATGTACCATCACTTTCTCAAATACCAGCTGGTTTTACAGCATCAGCCTTCAGGATAGAAATTACCTTCAGAAATATGTCTCTTTACATCAAAATAATTGGAACTCCTCCAAAATCTTTGCTGACTATTGATCCATCACATGCTCTTTTTCAACATTTTGAATGGCTTCTCTCAGGCCACCGGGTTTGTTGTCCTGCATGCAGAACTCAGACAAGAAAAGCCACATTTGTGGCTAAAGCTCTGCTGCTCCTAAATCACCTAATAGTTCATATGTTTCTTTTCTCCTAATGCTTTATCATATTTGTTCACTTTGCAATTAAAAGCCACTAATGCAACAGTATCTAAAATATATTTTGTATGAGACTCATAGAAAATATGTTTATTACAGATGTCCAAATATTGTTAATCAAACCAATATCAGAATATATAATTGTGCGTGTAAAATCTCCGATATAGGCAAAGTGATGGAAAGGCTCTGCCTTTATGCAACCTATTGGTGAACAGAAAATGTGTCAGTTGTCTACTGTTGTTCTCATTTTGACTAATATCTCTGGTTAACGTATGCTCTAATTCCACACTCCAATACGAGTAAAAATAATATGCATGATTATATCAGCAAAGATCAATACTCAAAGCTGCAATATTGGTATTATATCGGAAATTAAAAGGTTGTATAGAGACATGTTAGTTTTGTAAGGCTTGGCAAATAAATGCATTTGCAATATAATTGCAATTTTCCAATTGCAGATGCACTCAATTTTTGGTTTCGTTACATTTAACAAGTCTAAGAGCCAGTGACGTGCGGTGAGGTTCATAGCTGGTGAGGCACTGACGTCATCAGAATCAGATTTGCAAATAGATGCATAGATTGACAGCAGTTTACAGGTTATGTTTCACTTCTGCATCCTTACACATACAAACTGTAGCTCACAAAACACACATTTCCTTAAAAAACAAAACAAAATAAATGTTATTACTGTCTTACCTTTACTTATAAATGAATAGAAGTCCTCCTTATCTTCCTTCAGTTTTAAAAGTCTCTCTGTCTCAATGGAGATCACTGCCAGGGAAGAAAGCCTTCCTTGATCCGTCCTGTTCCTGCCTTATGTTTTCAGTCTCTTGAGCACCCCCTGCCATGAGGCAAGAGAACTGCCTGCCTCACCTCGAACTTGTTCTCTGCCGTTTATAATCGCTCATTACACGAAACACGTTACACAAACACAGTTGGTGACAAAAAGCTCTGTACATTATATACATAAGCCAAATTATTAGAAATAAGTTCACATATTACATTTGTTTAAACCATTTTATTGACGCCGTACAGCAACATGCTCTCTCCGCTTTGCAGCCAGCGCAGAGCCAGGGGTTGCGCAATCCAAGGTGAGGCAGAGCTCGCTGCTGCCTCACCGGCATCGCTTCCAAGCATTTGAATGGGAAAATAAGAAAATTCAGCGATTTTGAACAAATAAAAATCGAAATTGGTGAAGCTACATGAAAAATGAATATTTTTTAGTACAAACCACCGGATGAATATAACAATTTAAATTACTTTATGATTATATATTTTCTTTCTTTCCATGATGGCTGGTGAGGCACTGCCTCACCTGCCTCCCCTGACCGCACGTCACTGCTAAGAGCTCTGGTTTTTTTTTTCCTTCCCACACTTTAGGTGGCGGTAAAGTGTTTAAATTGAGTTTGCTGCCACACAAAAACGAAAAGGAAACTTTCAGCTAGCTCGCAGGTCTAAGCTTACAGGTGGAAGTAAGAACTTTCCAAACAAAGGTTACAGTAAAGTCCTGCAACAATGGACTTTGGACAAACCAGCTTTCAAGGAAATGAAAAAAAAAAAAACAGAAACCCTGGAGTGATACATCTACGTTTGTGGTTAGTGCAAAGCAATATCAAAATAAAATCGCAAAATTGTTTAGCCTTATTTCTTTGTTTATTTTCATTTCTAGAAATTATGTAAATGTCCTAAGACTACAAAAAACAATTTTAACCCCCAAATTGTCCCTTTATGACCAACATGACAGCAGGGAAGACTGTTGATTTGACCAGTTGTGCAGCAGGTGGTCTCTGAAAGCCCTTAACAATGAAGGCAGGCTACACGATGTTAGAGCTTTATAGCATTTTTTTTTTTAGCTTTTCTTGCACTAAAAAAAAGCTGCTCACACAGTCATGCAAAAGGAGCATGAATGGCTGTTTTTAGAAGTTTGACAGTGATTTACTAAACAGGTAAATCTGGAACCCATCATACAGACATATCCTGAGCTATCTCTATAGTTATGCTACTATAGGCTTAGACTGCTGGAGGACATAGGGACCCCTTTTTCATAATTCTGCTTCATTCTATCTCTAGTTTCCCACTCCGCAGAGTTTGTTAGTTCAATCTCTAACGTTTTGCTCTCTCTGCTTTTTCTCATAGTAGCTTCATCTGGTCTGTTCCTGTTTGGCTGTGACTCCATCCTGGAGAGAAATATCAGCTGTGCTGCTGCCATCAACACCTTTGTTTATAGATGTTGGAGACCGAGCTGTTCATATTTTTATTGGTGTATTTGATCTTTTCCAAGGAAATGACCTCTTCTATGTTAGACACAAAGGCCGTCATTCCTCAAGAAAGGTCAAAGTTGTTAAAGGTGCTGAGGAAGCTGAAAGAATATTTGTTGACTTCAAAGCCAGCCCTACAGGTGCACATTGTAGCCAAATAAAAACAATTGATGCAATCTCAAGGAGATTTTATGGGCCAGGAATCTCTGTGGGCATCAAGAAATTGGTATGTTACATAAGCAGTGGACAAAGGAAAGAAGTAACACCAACTACAAGATTTAAATTTTAGGAAAAAGGATGCATGCTTATTGTGTATTTGTTTCATTTGTTTCTTATTTGTTTGTTATTGACTCTCACTTACTTCCCAGGTTTATGAGTGCTCATTCTGTCAGGCCAGTGCTCAAGCACTGACAGCCATCAGTGTTTACTCCCATAACGGTAAAGTAATTCATAGTAAAAACAAACAGGTTTAGTGAGACTAGATTGTTGTGTACACTTGTGGAGCTGTTTGACAAATTCTTTTTTTTTATCTTTGCTTATTTCTGTATGTCTGCTTCTGTCTCCTTGAATCCCCGTCGGCCTCGGCAGCCTGGTTCTGCTGGAGGTTTCCTCCTGTTAAAAGGGAGTTTTTTCTCTCCACTGTCGCTACATGCATGCTTGGTGAGGTATTGCCTTTGAGTCAATGAGTCCATGCAATCAGCCGGGTTTCCTTAGATAGAAAACTTTTGATCAGTTTGACTGTATGATCTGGTTAATTTGCAAAGTGCCTTGGGTTGTGTTGTGAATTTGTGTGAAATAAATAAACTGAATTGAATATCCAGCACACAGACAAAAACTCTTTCAGGGAAATTAAAAGAACTTGGCCATTTCTACGTGAAATTTCAAATTCCTTTTTTAGCTGAAGTCTAATGAAGTTAATTTGGGATTTCATTTGGAAATGAGGGTTTCTTAGTCTGGGGGGAAAAGTAAAGATACACAGAAACCCAGCTGGTTAGAGTCCAGTACAAGTTTTCCAAACTCGATAATCTGAAGAGCCATGTGATCCACTGCTGTTGGTCCAGAGTACAGCGCTTCATGCTTCCCTCTGCAGGCAAGCTTTTTAGGGATGCTGGTTTGGTTTTCTGGCAGAACTTGGCAGCTATCTACGATGTAAATATACCAATATCTTCCTAAACAACTGCCCTTACATAAACCTCACATAATATTGTCAAGAGCAAAATACAGTTGGTGATAAACCGCCAGGCAGCGTCAAATAAACACAGACATCCAGGCAAGCTTGAAAGGTTTGTCTGGATGTAAGCCTGCTTTACATCAATGTGTAGAACAACTCTTAAACTCTGGCTTGCATCTGCC